CATACCAGCTTCACCGAATAAGGAATGGTTCCGATCATTTGATAACCGTGCAAGTGTCCCATCGCAAAAGTGACAAGCGATATGGTCGTCTCTTAGCATGTAGTATTACGGAATACATTTCAATGGATCAAATAATAATCAGTAAAGGTCGAGAATTTTCATCTATAATTGAAATCAGACTGGCGAATTCTACAGATAAGTAGGCAATACAGATAAGAAGGCCATTCGATATTCTCCAACTCATCAAAATTTACGATTTACACAATACAGTTTTAAAAGATGTGAACTGGGATCAATATTACATCAAAATGTATGAACTGTTAAATAACGAAGTAATCAATACTACAGTCAAACTATCTGTAAGATAACCAAGTGGGATAATTTTAAACTAATTCGTTTATTTACCAACGTTTAATTAGTTAGAATTATAAAGAAGAAAACATAAGAAACAAACAAATAAACATTCCAATTAGTTTTAAAAAAAAAAAACCCATGTAAGTTTCCTGCAGAAAATCAGAAAATATTGCAGCAGACATCACAAAATTCAGTAGACTTCGAGTTCATTCAGTTTATGTGTAAGTGCTAAATAAATTCTTTGCCAGATATATCATAAAGATATACACCAAGTATGACGTCAAAATTATGGATTATATGCGACCAAAATAGATCCTGATTTTTGTGTTTTTGATGACGAAGTCAGTGCATAAGCAATAACATCAGTGTTCGAACTATTGCAATGTTGAAAATTATGAAATATCATACTGTACGAATTATCGCAATATTGACACGTATAAAGTATTAATCTAAACGAAGTATTGCAGTGTTGACAATTACGAAGTATTATACTGAATGGAGTATTCCAAGGTTCACAATTATGAAATACCATATGGATTGACCAGAAACCAGGGTAAACTGTCGACCAGTTCAAGCTCATTGTTTGCCCTTGGTATTTGCCACAAAATGGCGGGTTTAATACAATGATGTCTATTTTTAAATCGTTCAAAGGATTAATTGTTAAAGCATATGTGTGTGAAGTGGTTATTCGTATATCGATTTATAGTGCTTCATAGAGTATACTTACATTCCTTTTACCCGAAATTGTCTTATTTTGCACAAACTACATAACGTCTTTGAAGTTGTATTTGCGATGAATCACACACACACACACACACACGCACGAGGACCTAATAATTAATTTTCATCTATCTACACAGTCATTCTGGATTCCTGTGAAAGAAATCAAGTCATGTCTGCTACACACGAGTGCATATTACACCGATTCAGTAGCATCAATTTTGGTGACGTGTGCTTAGTGTGATGGAATATGGGCTGGTGTGTGTGCCGTTTATCCTGTATGATATTATTGTTTATATTAAATATTAATTCTGCCTATTATTATCAATCTCCTATAGAATCCAGGGATAGCACTTTCCGTTCTGTCTGGTGTAAATTTATAATACTCTATAATTATTCGTATACCTTGATTTCTTTCAAAGGAATCCATAATTATGCTGAAATACATATAATCTTTAAAAGTATTTTGACCCCGCCTTTGACAATACCAGGGAAGAGTGGCGTAAATGGTGTCCAGGGCGACAACGTTGGCTAAAATGTTCAGAAAACGAGGTCCGAAAGGGTCGAAGCCAGGATGGTTCTTGGGACGGGGCTAACCCACTTCTCACTAGCTAGGGGGTTTGGAGGAGTGATGTGAGCTATCCCAGCAGGGTTCGGGACAGAGCCTTGACGAAAACATTTGTCTGCAATTTAAGTGCCATTTGAAAGCCTATCCTGCTTTTAATCCGCTAATTTAGCTCTTCATGACACACGGTACTAATTATAATGAAAAAATGGGAACCAGCTTGGAAATGGGTGAAGATAAAATAGAGTATATATGGATTTAACTGGCCAGGATTGGTTAATATTGTAAGTTATGTTTTAGGAAAAAGACTCTTTTGAGAGCTTATCCTAGTTGTAAGTGAAAACAAAATTGATACACTGTTTTATTGATGGAATTTCAGTCCTTTAACAGTCTTGAATTTGGAACACTCATTAGTAAAATTAGCACCGGACTCTTTGGTGCAGAATTGGAAGCACGTGTTTCACACACTTGCAGGTCCAGAAAATGCCGTGGTTGATATCCTTTCCCTCTAGACAGATGCTGGCATCCAAGTTTTATCTATGCCTATAAATATAGGTTTGATCAAGAGTACTCAGAAATTTTAAGTTATTAAATTTTTAATATCATGGTGTTGCATAGGTTTACTATGGGAACTGAAATTAGTACTGTGAGTCCTTCAAGACCTCTGGCGTCTAAGGGGGCAGGGGCCAGTTTTTATGAAAAAAATTAATGCTGCAATCAGTGACCTAGTACAAAACAATCATACAAAATCAAATACATAAGTGAGGTCAAGAAGGTCCATATTTTGAGATACCTATATTAAAACTAAGCATAAAATATTATCCACTTGACCAGAGAAATCAGTGGCATTTCATAGCAGAAGAAGTTTATGCAACCCAAACCCAAATTTATACCTGCAATTTTCATGTCCGAATGTCATTTTTGACAACATGTTTTGCTCACAGTGCAAATACAAGCCCTTTTCCTAGATGACAATTCGGCAAAACAGTGTGTACTAAACAGGCTAATGCAGTTGAAAATAAATGTCATCCAAGCCGTTTTTGAGATATTCTCCTTGCCCCAAACCCACGTGCTTACTGCTATGGAAGGCTATCTCTTCTTCCTAGCCAACTATTGGCATTTCACTATCAACAAATTGCAGAGTAACTATGGAAGGTGTACATGCCTGACATCAAATTCAAGAACAATACAAGTCTGAAGCATCCTAGTTCACAAATATATCCATATCTATAATTAGTAAACAATAATAGCTGAAAAAGTCACACCATAGCCTTAAGTTAAGAAATTTGTCAGGGGCCAATATGCAACCACCCCGCCCGACCCGCTCTCCCCGTTGTGTGCCACTACAGAGCTCATATGGACACTTATGTGTTCGGTAGTTCAAGAAATCGGGATAAAGATTGGACCTAGTTTCCACTTAAAATCGCAGTCAGTCTTCCGTCTGTATCGCTTGAAGATGACAACGTAATTCTTATTCACATTTATTTCAAAATTCCAGTTTCCCCAATAAAAGTGAGCGATAACAAGCATTGCTTCAAAAGAATCGTTATAACATGTCTACGATGTTTAAATCGTTATACACACCAAGACGATCAATTAATGCAGACCTGATACGGTTTAGTTGTGTTCATATATTATTTCAAAGATTTATACAATCTAAAAGATCGATGGCAATCTGATTAAAATTAAGATCTGACATAATGGAAATCTTCAATGCAACTGTAACATGTTCATGTTGCTGACCTTGCAAAATCTCAGACTGCTAATTGTTTGTACCCTATCAGAGTGAGCGTTCCACTGCGTGCGAGTGACAGTTATCGTCACAGTTATTTGTTCCGAATGATGTTTATCACTTTCAGCTGCATGAAAACTAATTTCATTAGTAAAGCAAAAGATCACTAATATCCCCAATTATCAGATCTATTTATGTATAAGTAGACATTGATTTATATTTCTTCAGAATAAACGAAAGGTTAAACCAATAAATTTGCGGAATATTTTAAATATGCTAATAACCATAATGAAGATAATGTAGACTATATATATATATATATATATATATATATATATATATATATGTATGTATGTATGTATGTATGTATGTATGTATGTATGTATGTATGTATGTATGTATGTATGTATGTATGTATGTATGTATGTATGTATGTATGTATGTATGTATGTATGTATGTATGTATGTATGTATGTATGTATGTATGTATGTATGTATGTATGTATGTATGTATGTATGTATGAGTATATATATATATATATATATATATATATATATATATATATATATATATATATATATATATATATATATATATATATATATATATATATATATATATATAATATGAGCTGAAATAATATCTAATGAGGATAATGTAGCAATTGCTGATGAAAAATATTGCAGGCGGATAAAGAATTATATACAGGAGTGTGTTCAACTTGGAAATACTACTAAAAATGTTGGGGCTATTTCTGGATTATAAATACATCGTTACGATACTTAGTAATTCATTTTAACATCATTTACTTTTTATTATATGTTTATTTTTCCAATTGAATAGTGAAACGAATAAACAGTCTTGATATACAAGAAGAAAACATGCCCGAGATACAAAACTATAAAGGCATAACTCTTATAAGAACATTAGGGTAAACTATTCGTGAGAATTATTAACACCAGACTTAATTTCTAGACTGAATCTTATGTTATATATTGAAGCGTAAACACTGAAGCAAATTAGTGTTTTAGATCTGGTTTATGTATATCAGATATTTTTTCCCCATAGTTTTATTACACATTTGGCAAACAAATGTAAAAACAATTGTTAATCATTCATGGGCTTTTTGTGCTACTACAAATTCCAATGCTACTGCTGCTACTACTACTACGACCACTACTACTACTACTACTACTACTATTTCTACTACTACTGTTAGATGATGATGATGATGGTGATGATGATACTACAACTACTACTACTACTACTACTACTACTACTACTACTACTACTACTACTACTACTACTACTAATAATAATAATAATAATAATAATAATAATAATAATAATAATAATAATAATAATAATAATAATAATAATAAAATATTGGTTATTTCTTGTTCAAGATCATGAAGAAAGAAATTGTTATATTCTAGTATTCTCTGACCCAATTTGTTATGGTATATTAACTTTTAGGCGCCATTCATAACAATAGTTTTAACGAGTATTCAAAACCCTTTCGTAAAACATTTCTTTTGATAAAAATTGCTATATCATTTTCATAAAAAAAATCAACTACAACTGCAGTGTAATTAAACCTGACTCAGGAACCTCATTTTGTGACAAACAGCTCCGGTGGCCTAGTGGTTAGAGCGTCTGCCTCAGATGCGGGTGGTCGTGGGTTCGATCCCTGGTCGAGTCATACCAAAGACTTACAAAAATGGTACTAGCAGGTTCCTCGCTTGACGCTCAACATTAAGAGGTTAGTGTTAGAACTGGTCGGAAAGGTGTTAGGATAATGTGACTGGGTGGGACATCATGCTACATGTCTGCGGCATGATGCCTCATGCTAGACATCACTAAAAACTGCCACAATACAGACATCTTAACGATATGACTGAAAAATTGTTAAAGCTACGTTAAAAATCATAAACACCACACCACCACCATTTTGTGACAATTTCACTTCCTTAATAAAACATCTCAAATAAAAACAGTGATAAGCATTAACATCGCGGTGCTCCAATTGCTTAAATAAATTCCTTTGACAAAGTGTTTTTGTATTTAACTCAACTTTTAACATGCACATATATAGAATGTATTCTATTACAACGTTGTCCTTCAATCCCTAATGCTAGTAGTTGGTTTCATAATATATCTGTTATAAAAAAGGTTTTGTAAACTTAATGAAAGTGAAATATGATATATTAAATGAATTTAGACAAGAAATTAAACTATTCAACATTCGAAAGGTGTATATAATTTGCTGTAATGTGGCGAATTTTGAAGACTTATTGAAACTTAAAGTTGAATGAATTGTGCTTTGAAGTTATCATAGTCAAGCCAGAAAGGTCTTGAGAAAGTTTACTGATTCTTTTATTTCATCTCTGAAACATTAAAGAGTCTACGTTTATGCTTCAGTAGCATTGACCGGTTTGTCTTAACGGTACAGTGACATATGTGCAGTAGAACTTCGACTGTAGCGGTTCATAAAGGGGAGCACGTCAAATAATTTTTCAAAGGAAATTAATTTCAACAGATTCAAAGGTTGTCAAAATCTAACGAAATACATGATTATTTGGGGAGAATATTATGAACAGTTATTTCCGATTAGTCAGAGAAAATAAGGGCGTATACTTTGGAAGACTGAGAATTTATGAGTACCAACTTACTCCAAATTCTTTAGCTCGACTTTTGCCTTGTGAGGTGAGAAGTCAAAAGGTCCAACCCCTTGGGGAACATGAGAATAGTGTTGTCTCTCGTGGAAAAGTGCCAGACAGCTGTCTTAAAAAGGAAGACAGGCTATAGGCTAGGACGCGGTTGTATGGAAAGAAATGACATTAAGGTACACAATTTTCGTTTCCATTTAGTATTCTATTTCATTTTTTGGTTGTTTATTTTTTCTTTTTTTGCAAATGTGTTGATATGCTTATGATTCATGCATGTATCATGTGTTCATTTTGTAGGACTCTGTTGATATGTTAGTGCTATGCAATTTAATTCTCTGATTTAGCATTTATTAGTTCATTGAGAAAATTGACGGATTGCATGTAATTACATATTCAATATGCAATATTTCCTAGAGATTTATGATGTACCTCAAATAATGCAAATATGCAGTATTTCATAGGGATTTAGGAATTAACCTTAATATACAAATCTGTCATATTTGTTATGATTACATAAATTTATTCTGTGTTATAGTGAGCTAGTGACAAGTGTATATTTATAAATGATTTCGCAATACTTAAACGATCTTGCAGGTTATTAGTTAATGTAGCTAGCTTCAGAGGATATTATGCCATAAGTAATTAGGTATTTATTTTATTGAACAGAATTAACTAGCCAAATGTAAATAAGACGTGTAGGAATACAGGAATATACGGCCGCATTTGTCGGTAGAAAGTACGTGGTAATTCCTAATCATTTCCTTGCGTGGAGTGCAGTGGACTTGCTAAGGTCATTTGTGCTAATGTAACGGTATCTTAACTAAGCACAGAATCGGTAAGATCACATTACGTCAGAATTTGTGCTGGAGGCATACGGTATATTTAATGAAACAGCTTTATTTTCCACACGCAGAGAGAGAGAGAGAGAGAGAGAGAGAGAGAGAGAGAGAGAGAGAGAGAGAGAGAGAGAGAGAGAGAGAGAGAGAGAGAGAGGGGGGGGGGCTGACTGATCATGAGACTGAAGGGCACACATTATACGTGGAAACAAGACAAAGGAAATCCGCATCTACAAGAGATCGTAATAGTCAAGAGTCAGAAGGGGACCAAAAAGCGCACGCATTAGACGTGGAAACAAGAGGACAGAGACGTCATGTGATGCTGTTAAAGCGTGGGAATTGCATTCATGAATTCAATACTCGTACTCTAATGTAAATTGAACACCGCGAATTCTATCAATGCAATATGTCGGATTGAAAGTGAAATTTTGGTTATGTTTTAATTGATTAAATTTATTTTGTATTTATTGGTAAAAGCGGCCCGTTTTCGTTTATTTTCTTCAATAACTTGCTCAGACATCTGTTAACGTTCCATCTATCCGTCCACACTGGGCAATAACACCATGGGAGGTGATTCTTAGTTAACGATCGCCAAATCAATTAAGGAGGCTTTAATGTTTTACAGTCCCCCACCCACCCAGTTACATGTACGTGTTTTCTCTGAATCCAGAATGATATTCAATATACATTTTAGAATCCTCTATAAGTCTATTGTTTTGAATACAGGTGAATATTTACCTAATACACCTTCAGAGAGATGCATTAATAATTTTCAACATCATAAATTAACCTTTTTTATTAATAATGATAATAATTCAGCCAGATCTACTTACAGCAAAACGTCCTGAAATAAAAATCATTTGTTTAAAGAAATATAGTAATAAATCCTGAAATGAAATAATAAATATCGGTTTATCGGATGCAACTCAATTTACACGTATTAATTCTTTGATGGATTTATTTATAAAGTCTTCTGTACTATATACATTAAACTCAATTTAAAGACCATCGCCTTTCTTTTATGCAATCTTATAAAAGTTACTGATGAAGATCTAGGTCTATGCATATATGTAGAATAAACAACACAGACCATGGGTAGCTCTGCCGGATAATTAAGCGAATGTAGATCAGGGTTTATGTTGTTTGCCGTTGAACTTCAATTATATATAGTGCATATTCTTTTTAAAATTAAATGTTATCACTATTATCAGAAAACGAAAGATCCTCGGGCATATTAATACGTTGTGGAACTGAAGTAGCAAATTTATAAACATTAGTTGCTATAATCTATCAGTGGAACTGACCACCAATTCGAACGATTATTGTATTTCAGGGGTCAAACAAGGCCGCAACAGGTTGACAGGTAAATGGGTCAGCAGGGTACGTCTAGGTTACCTACCGAACGCTCCTTTCATTTCTTGATTGGATGTAGGTATTACCCCTACCTGTCAATCGAGATTCTATCCAGAGCTACAGGGCATTATAACTTGACGTGTAAAGTGGCGCACTTCTCTTAAATGAAAAAAAAATGTAATTTATCGGCGAGTAGATCAAATAATTAGTGATTATTCAGGGCAGGGATCACGTACGTGTCGCACATACATGTAGACGACTGAAAAGTAAAATCCCGATAGATTGTCTGAAAAGTTTTGAATAGTATTGAAAATAAACACGATAATTCAATAATTACACTAGATACGCTATATGAATTTTTTGGAAGAATATAACGAGAACACTAATCGAAATATAACCAGTAACCTCGACGATCTAGACGTGGACTTAGACAACGATGATAACATATTCAATTCACTGATAACTGAAGAATAAATCATAAAATTTAAAAATTAACAAAACTCCATTCATATGAGAGTATACTCGATGAATATTTAAAAACACATCAATCTTACTGATACCAGTAAAGGAGAAAAGAAATTTTTTACTTTTCTGTTTCAAGATGTCTGATAGAATATGCAAACAAACATATTGTCTATGGTTGAGTACCCAACATGCATTTCAGTTAATATGTTGTGATGGTTGAGAACAAGCTCGATGCTTGACTTCAGTATGGCGGTAAACAGCTTACTTAAACATCAGTTGGTAATTTTCGGCTGTAGAGGGACCTCCACTAACTTTATAAACTTGTTTTATGATACCTTCAAGGCATGATTCTGCTAAGGTGTACTTAGGGTCATCGGAACCTTGGCTAGCGAAGATGATCGATCAGATATTACTGTGTTTTGTGTCTGTGAATTTCATTGCAAACCACCGCATCCAATCAAAATTAAATTTTTCAAATTTGAACACTTTTCAAACGTGGTCAAGACAAGGGGACATACAACTTGAATGGACTGATAAATAAGCACTTTTTCCAGTGTCGGTCCGTGTTTGCACAAAAACTTTTTACTCAAATAGACTTTTAATGATTATTTTCTTGTACTTAGTCATACTTTCGATATTAAACTTACAAGGTATCCTTTTTAAGTCAATTGCTACCACGGTTTTCGGCGAATGTACAATGCACAACGCTACTGGTTAGTTGCCATTACATGCTAATGGATGCAACACGTGAAATCGAATAGATGTCGCTAGGGCAAAGCACCGATATAGCTGTTCGATTTGCCAAGGTGATCATAGGGTTATCGGAACCTTGGTTATCGAAGATGTATTATACCCTGAATATTAGGCCGATAAATCAGACCCACACCTCTAGAGATACTAACTGAACAAATCATCCATCAGTGCCAACATTGATTTGGGGTTCTGAATTATGGGAATACATGATAATTAAACTAAAAGTGTATACCTACAGACATGACGTAACTAACTCTCGCTTACTAAAGTACATACACGTACTATATATGATGTGTGATTACTATGCTTCTGTGCCCAGATTCTATCAGCTACTCACGCAAAGAAACAAGTGTTTCTAAATCCTATTAAAAAATACGACGAATCCTGTTTTAGAGCATTTAAGTTAAATAGATTTCTAGGCAATAATATTCTTTTGTTGATATTTACTCATCCATTCGAATATTTTCTTTATATTTTAAGTGATAACAGGGCCGCGGAAATTATTAATGGGCATTAAGGGAAAATTCTCCAGTAAAGTCAGTATGAATTACAAATTGTGATGGCGGTGGACACGCTGACCGTTGTGGGCCAGGGAATTTTGTTATATGTGTCATACCGTGTCTACGGATCTCAGTGACACATACATTTATCTTGATGGAGATAGATCTTGACTTTTATCAATGTGCCATGCTGGAAACTACAGGCTAGTAAGGAAAATAAGACCGCTCCGGTGACCTAGTGGATAGATTGTCTGCCTCAGATGCTGAAGGTCGCCGGTTCGGACACCGGCCGACTCATAGCAAAGATTTATAAAAATGGTACTGACAGCTGCATCGCTTCGCGCTCAGCATTACGAAGTTAGTGTTAGGACTGGACGGCTGATGTCATGATAATGTGACTGGGTGGCACATCACGCTACATGTCTGCGGCATGATGCCCAGTGCTAGACATCACTATGAACTGTCACACTGCAGACATCGTAGCGATATGACTGAAAAATTGATAAAGCTACATTAAAAATCTCAATCACATACAGACAGACAGACACACACACACACAAGGAAAATACAACTGCCATGTAATGAACCCTTAGATGAAAATACGATACGCCTTGAATAACCAGTTGACCGTGACACTGGGTGACCTTATCTGCGTCTGGGGATAGATGACCTGATGTACCGATGAAACCAAGGATCACGCCTCTGTGGATTAGTCAGTGGACCTTATTAAAGTCAATATCCTTGGGTAGTTGAATAGCCTTAGGTTTACGTTTTAAACCCATCCTTAATCTCCCTAGAATAACGTGTACAGGTTTAACAAAACAAACCACACACTCTTCCCACTTGGGTGACGTGAGTACGTATGTGAATTCCCCCAAAAGGCTTCCCTCTATCTGGAAATCATATACCGCATTATAAAAGGTCAGCGAATACGGACATTACTCGGTTTTTATATAGGTACTTGGGACATTTAGGTCATTCCTTCCCCGATTAATGATAGATGATTTGATATACACAGGAAAGCAATACAAAGCAATACAAGTTTTCATGTTTAGATAGTCATGCCACTTTACCCTGAATAAACTATGAAAAGAATCAGACAGGCCATCAAAATGGCTACCAGTTCTTCTTGTAGGTTATTCTTACTAACAGCTACTTCATTTTATTTATTTATTTATTTATTTATTTATTTATTTATTTATTTATTTATTTATTTATTTATGTGTTGCTTTATTCGAAACTGGTTATTCATCTTTTTTGATGCACTTGCTCGAACAAACTTTCTACATTTATTCATCAGGAAGCCGCGGTCACAACGGTTAGCGTGCCGAACTCATGACTAAATTGCCACGGGTTCGAATCATACAACTTGACCAGCCTGTAACAGCTACTATAGTACGTAATAAATAACCTATTTGTGTTGCTGTGCCGTAAAGCACCAAAACCAAACACGTGTTTATCTTGAATAATTGGATCGATACGCAACAAATACAAATGGAAGGTTCTCATTGCTTTAGTAATAGGGTACAATGTCTTTTAAAGGAACTAATATCCGTCTTAAGCTTCAAATTTTCTTCTGCGATAGGCGGGTGTTAGTTATATAAAAGACAAATAAGTGAGAAATTAGTTGGTATCCATGAAAGTGTTCCCGATGGAAAGTGCCCTTTCTATACAGACTTTTTATGATAGGTTTTATTAAATGCTTCGTCATACTTCTCCTTTCAGTTATGGCATGAGAAGTAATAATATAGGACAGAGACTGGTCATTCCTTAATGCTCGTATCACTGTTATTGAAGAGCATTCAAGTAAGTTAGGAATGAGTGTACCGATGCAAAAGAGAGAGAGAGAGAGAGAGAGAGAGAGAGAGAGAGAGAGAGAGAGAGAGAGAGAGAGAGAGAGAGAGAGAGAGAGAGAGAGAGAGAGAGAGAGAGAGAGAGAGAGAGAGAGAGAGAACAAATCACACATCTTATACGACGGTTTCGAACATGTTTTCCAATATATCAGCCTATAAAATATCCAGAATCAAAATGAAATCATACAAGAGTCGAGATATACTTGTGTTAATCCGATAATCAGTCATACCAAATAATTTATTTGGAAGTGAGGGCAGCTAGCAACGGGAGAATATTCCATATTTAGATAGCTAAAGCTTTACATTTTAGCATCTCATCAATTTCTGCTGAAATATAAGATGCATATAAATTTATTTTTTTCTACCTTATTCCGGATTTATTTTATCTTACGCAAAAAGGTAATAACAAATAAATCATATTTCAAGGAGGGGCGAGACTAATTGTTGAAATATGCTGTCTTTCTGTACCCACATCCACTAACTACGTAGGAAAATTCTTTCCTTGTTATTATATGCCAAATTTGAATCGAAGCATAACGCCTTAACTTAATCATTAGTATCCCACATCACCCCGTCCGATTCGTAAGCTTAACTTATTCCGCAGCTTCGCTTCCCCACCCTGTCCGATTTGTAAGCTTAACCTAATCCTCAGCATCCCATCCCACTCCGTCCGATTTGTAAGCTTAACTTAATCTTCAGCATCCCACCTCCCCCGTCCGATTTGTAAGCTTAACTTAATCTTCAGCATCCAACCCAACCCGTCCGATTTGTAAGCTTAACTTAATCCTCAGCATCCCACCCCACCCCGTCCGATTTGTAAGCTTAACTTAATCTTCAGCATCCCACCTCCCCCGTCCGATTTGTAAGCTTAACTTAATCCTCAGCATCCCACCCCACACTCCGTCCGATTTGTAAGCTTAACTTAATCTTCAGCATCCCAACTCCCCCGTCCGATTTGTAAGCTTAACTTAATCCTCAGTATCCCACCCCACCCCGTCCGATTTGTAAGCTTAACTTAATCTTCAGCATCCAACCCACGCCGTCCGATTTGTAAGCTTAACATAATCTTCAGCATCCCACCTCCCCCGACCGTTTTGTAAGCCTAACTTAATCCTCAGTATCCCTCCCCAACCCGTCCGAGTTGTAAGCTTAACTTAATCTTCAGCATCCAACCCACCCCGTCCGTTTTGTAAGCTTAACTTAATCCTCAGCATCCCACCCCACCCCGTCCGATTTGTAAGCTTAACTTGATCTTTAGCATCCCACCTACCCCGTCCGATTTGCAAGCTTAACATAATCCTCAGTATCCCACCCCACTCCGTCCGATTTGTAAGCTTAACTTAATCCTCAGCATCCCACCTCCCCCGTCCGATTTGTAAGCTTAACTTAGGTCTCAGTATCCCACCCCACCCCGTCCGATTTGTAAGCTTAACTTAATCTTCAGCATCCAACCCACCCTGTCCGATTTGTAAGCTTAACTTAATCCTCAACATCCCACCTCACCCCGTCCGATTTGTAAGCTTAACTTAATCCTCAGCATCCCACCCCACCCCGTCCGATTTGTAAGCTTAACTTAATCTTCAGCATCCAACCCACGCCGTCCGATTTGTAAGCTTAACATAATCTTCAGCATCCCACCTCCCCCGACCGTTTTGTAAGCCTAACTTAATCCTCAGTATCCCTCCCCACCCCGTCCGATTTGTAAGCTTAACTTAATCTTCAGCATCCAACCCACCCCGTCCGTTTTGTAAGCTTAACTTAATCCTCAGCATCCCACCCCACCCCGTCCGATTTGTAAGCTTAACTTAATCTTTAGCATCCCACCTACCCCGTCCGATTTTCAAGCTTAACATAATCCTCAGTATCCCACCCCACTCCGTCCGATTTGTAAGCTTAACTTAATCTTCAGCATCCCACCTCCCCCGTCCGATTTGTAAGCTTAACTTAGGTCTCAGTATCCCACCCCACCCCGTCCGATTTGTAAGCTTAACTTAATCTTCAGCATCCAACCCACCCTGTCCGATTTGTAAGCTTAACTTAATCCTCAACATCCCACCTCACCCCGTCCGATTTGTAAGCTTAACTTAATCCTCAGCATCCCACCCCACCCCGTCCGATTTGTAAGCTTAACTTAATCCTCAGCATCCCACCAACCCCGTCCGATTTGTAAGCTTAACTTAATCCTCAGCATCCTACATACCTTGTCCGATTTGTAAGCTTAACTTAATCCTCAGCATCCCACCCCACCCCGTCCGGTTCATAATCTTAACTTCACCTCAATTTTATATTCGATTTCAAATTCGTACGAACTTCTGGACACTCATTTCGGGTACCAGATATTTAAATAACGAAGGCCTTGAACATTGAAAGGTTAATCGTACGCATATTGTTCGGACTAACGGAAAAAGTAAGGTATAACATAACTGAAACCCGCGTACAAAGAAACTATCTGTATGCATTATCGGGACGTTTGTTTAAACACAAGTTGAGATCAAAGATTCAAGGAACTTTGATTGGCAATTTAGGTGATCTATCATAACATCACAAACAAAGACAGAAAGTATCACATGAAACACAAATATGCATATTATGTTTATAATAAATATCGTATGTATTTTGATGTTGGTACATAATTAATGCAGTTCTGTGACTAAAAGGATTTTGTATTGACATAAAGCCATACGAATTTTCTAGAGATGGATTATTATACCAAGGTTTATCTAAGTAATTTTCGCTTAAATCTTGATAATTTTTACTAATGAAAAATGCATTATATTTATCGTCCACGGGACGCCAAATTACAAAGCTTACACAAACGATATGAAGTAGTAGTACCAGCATGTCTACAAATCTATAAAAGGTATATCGCTAGAATATCTGAATCACGAAAGTGCTTTACGCGTGTATGTAAATTTGTAAACCTATGGAAAGATAATTTTCAACATTTAATACCGTTTTATAATATTAAATTTTGACCGCTTCGTGATTTTGACATGCCAGTTTTGAAAAATACAATCCTTCACACATTGACGGAATGCTATTAATAAAATACAAACATGTCAAACATCTTGCGGTATGCACACAAAGCCAAAATCATACCTAAATAATAAATGACTCAGTTATCATTTAATGATATAAGCATTTTGTAGCTGCTCCTATACATCTGTACTAATTTGCACCAATATTTAATGCTCCTAGAGCAATATGTAACACGCACCTGTAGTATGCCCCCTTCTCCAAGAGCAGCATAATTATTCACATTACGTGACATATATAGATATTGTGAGCAGAAACGGCTTTGAAAACGTTCAATACATTATGAATACGTGGGTGCCCAAATTTCAGAACCATCAAATAATATAGGTTTCTCATAGTATCAAATATTTAAAGGGCATGTACACAACTGCAGTACTAAAATTTCCTTTTGCAACAAAAGATAACCATAACAG